CAGCGAAGTTGACTATCCAAATGTTTTTAGAGCCACATCCTCAAGAAGTGGTAGGCCAAATGCCACATCCTTCACCAGGCTAATCCCAGCTGGGACTGGGCAAATGTTGCCTTCGTCAGTACTCGCAGTCTTCACAAAGATGACATCTATCTAATCATAATGTACAATAAGCATACAGGAATTTTAAAGTGAAAACTAGAAACATTAGTTTAAACATCAGCGTGTGCAAAATAGATGAACTGGTTTATTGGACTATGAAAACATTTTAGACTTGGTTTTACAGACTTTTGGTTGGTTACACAGAATAATATGAGCATAAATTAAATTATTCCAAATATACAAGCCAATTAAAAAAAAAAAAGAGCTAGGCATCACACAACATCCCTAAATCTCAGACTACTACTCAGACACATAAAATGCATGCAGACACCAACACATAGCCTTACAGGGAGCTATTTGTCTTGGCGCGGCACACTGTACTCTTTACAAACGGTCTGGGTAATTGGTGATACATATCTAATATCACCAGTCATCGCCTCACTCCCTGGATGTTTCTGACAAGCAGAGAAGGAAACCCTGTAGCTTTCAAAAACAGAGCAAACACTTTGCTCCGCTCCTCTGCTGAACTCACATACCACATCGCTGCAGCTGCCCAATTCAGTGCCTGAATGTTATTCTGTTTCCTTTGCACGCCAGACCCTCAGAGAAGCCAAGGGGTGTCCTCACAAATTCACACAGGCAAAGAGGAGTATTTTATACTGGGAGAAAATGAGAAGGCCCGCTCATGTCCATGAGGGACACCCCTCCATCGCAGGCATATATGATCTGCTAGGTTTTCCTCTGCCCTTCGAGCATTATACTTTTCACAGAAAAGCAAGATCCAAGGCTGCAGAAAAGCTTCTCCAGAGGGCTTCTGGGTATTAAACAAAGGAGCCTGTTGGTAGGAACTAGCGAGCAAACAGCTGGGCTAATAGAGCGGGACTAATTAACTACAGGGTCGCTCTCCGACTCTACTTGTCGATGCTTGCTGGATGTTTACAAAGACATCCCAGAGAAAGGGAGGAGAAAAATAAGAGGCTTTCTTCTTTGTCTGCTCTTTAGGGAGAAAGGAGACACCCAGGACTGATTTTAATGACATATGTGAAGCAAATGTGATCCTCCCTCCATTTTTTTTTTAAACTGCCAATGGAATTTAGTGCTAAAAAATACCATCGGCATTGTGGTCAAAGCACAAACACCATAACTAAGAACGCAGCATGTGAGCATTGTCACCACACGCAAAAATAAAAAAGGGTTGTTTTTTTCACATTGTCACTGTGGCACTGAGAGCACTGCAAAACATCTGCTGGTTTAAGAGTTATTATTAACTAGCTTATTATTAAAAGTACATTATATAATTATCATTTAATTTGCTTTGTGAAAAATATTTTTCCCACAAATGAATTCAACAAGATTCACATGGTGAACACCAACTTTATATAATGCAAATCCCTTCTCATGAGTCTTACACTGTTGAATCTGGGAACGAGTACACTTCCGGATAGAGAGAAATTTTTATACCAGTGGCCAGTGAACCCTTAAGAAAAGAGGAAAGAGTGAAGCATGTGTTTGTCACAGGAATAGCCGCAGAAAAAAAGAGAGAGAGGAGAGTTCACTAGTTAAAGGCCCTCAAACTCAAACAGCATCGCTCTTTTGCTCCACTATAGGAGCAGGATTAAGAAGAGATGAACGTGGGGTAGACGATAAGAAGACCAGATACAAGGAATTATACAAAGATTGAGTGCTAAAGGAGGTATAGAAAGTGTGAGGACATGGACTGATGTACTTGAAAGAAATGGAGTAAAGGAGGTGAGTTGAAGGATAGATGAAATGAAAATGGAGGGAATGAGCAAAGAAGAGAAAGATGGCCATTAGCTGTGCAGCTCTACAGGCAGTGGGGAAGAAAGAGACATGAGAGAGAAAGGTCAGTGAGAAAGCAATCTGTAAAAGGTAGAAAGGAGGAAAAGGTAAAGGAAAGGGATCAGAAATAACAGAGAAACAAAGAAGTGATCAAAGAGAAAAGGAAGAAAAAAGGTTAAAGAAAGGTGCAAAAGGAAGTGGAAATAAAGTGAAAATTGAGAAATGGGGCAGATTGAATAAATGAGTGTAAAAATCTGAAAAATTGTATTATTCACGGAGAAAGAAATAGCAACAGAAGAAAAGATAAGCAAAAAGCATTGCAAAATGTAAAACACAGAGGGAAAACAGAGCTGTGAAAAATGTAAGAGGGAATGATGGGGAAGAATTAGAGCGCCAAAGGAACAAAGAGAGGTGAGAGAACGGGAAAGAAGAAGGATAAACAAAGGTGGTGTTTTAGAGCGAGTGGGAGGCAAGGAAGAAAAAAAGAGGGAGGAGAGAGAGAAAAACATAAGGATACACAAGGAGGGAGAGAGAAACCGACTGACAGTAAAATGAAAGAGAGACAGGAGAGTAGGTGGGAGACAAGGGAAAACTGGAGAAGAGAGGGAGGATGTTGAGATGAAAGAGAGAGGGGGGGTGAAGCTGTTGGGGAGAGAGAGTGAGTAAAGTGCCAAACAGATAAATAACCAGCTTACTGGGATTACCAAGTGACTGACACAGAATTTGCCAGAGCCAATATGACGTGGCACTGATAGCTCTTAACCCATATAAACCTGAAACTGGTCCAAGATGTCCTCCAGTATTTACTGTTGTCACTGCATTCTAATGCTCACCACTGTGTGTGTGCTACATACATGTGGACTTACATATACGGGCACATAGCAGGAGAGTTGTCAGCTTTGAAAAGACATTATTAGAGCTGGTTAAACGTTACCTGGATAAAAAATACAAATGAAGTAAAAATGCACAACATGTCCAAATGAATGCAGACATGTTATCGTCCCTACGAGTTCTCCAACTAAACAGTAGAACTTGATTGTGCCTCGAATCTCAAACAATTGATTATAAGTATTCCTGAAAGGACATATAGGAGTGCTTTCACTTCAAACAAGCAAAAACAAGACTGACAAGTTGTAACAAGGAAAAAAACAACAACAACTAAACACATTAAAAAGGCTGGCACAGTCATACTTAGCTATTGTGCAATTTTATATGTATTTATTCACATGGATGTGTGACATCACTCTGCTTTAAAAACTATATATCATAATAGCACTTTGCACCATCAACCTCTGGAGGTTTTTTCTGAGGAAAGAAGTTTCCATTCTTGAAATGCCAATGGGCTAAAACTAGAATCACATGCTGTAACAGCCTCCACTTTTTCCAAGAGCCTCTCCACCAAACCTTGATGGAGTTTTATACAGTTTGATGTGTCTTATTGCACCTCCTGGTTAAATAGAATAAATAAAATGCTAGCAATCATGTTTGACGGCCTCATACACATATACATGCATGATGTTTAGCTGCCATTGTGCAACACTTGGACAAATCAAAGCACATCATTCATTTTGCTGAAGCACATACACATTCTCACACACACAACACACCCTGCATTATACTCTGTAATTACTTTAATAACAAACAAAAATCTGCAACAGCCTGGAAAAGGAGTTGGGGAAACAGATATGAAGAGATAGAGGGTGATGCGAGAGAGTCGGAGAAGGTGGGCAGACATAAGGAGCGGGTCTATAATTGGAAAGATGTGAAAAATGAAGTGTCAGTTTGGTCAATAGAGGGCAAAGGTCACAGAAGCAGGAGCCCAAACTCTGCACAGAGCACACTCATTAGAGCGACCAATCAGATCTTGCCTGGTTGCCCCAGACCATTACTCATCACAGGCAGAGGAGTGCACACACATTTCCACAATATCTCTTTGTCTTCCCCCGTTTTACTGTAATTTCACTCTTATTGTATCAATTTGGTCTCCTCCTCCATATTATTTCAATTTTGTCTCAACTCGTGTCTGACCTCTCAGTCCTGAGCATTACTGAAGAGGGAGAGTCAAGCGCATACATATACAAGACAGAAAATGTGCCCGAATTAAAAAAAAATAAAAAAAGGAGAGACAACAAGACCAAGTGTGAGACAGACTGAGACAAAGAGAGACAGAGTATGTGTGTGTGTGTGTGTGTGTGTGTGTGTGTGTGTGTGTGTGTGTGTGTGTGTGTGTGTGTGTGTTGACTATATAAATGGCTGCTCGTTGGAGTGGAAGGCATGGCGGCGCTCTCTGCTCCCACCCAGGCTCTGCCTCCTGGCACTGGCAACCCTGCAAACTGCTCGCCTTGACATCGCCTTCAATAATATATGAAGTTGCTTTTTTGACTACAGTTTGTTTGCAGCGCCTTCCCACCGCCACCATTTTCCCACTGCTGCCTCTCTCTCACAGCCTCTTTAACACACTCAGAGGCACACACATATTTTCTGATTGCATGTAGATATCCAACTCTGGCAGATTTGTCCAGTGGAAGGGAGAGTATGTATTGGAAGTGTATGCACAATAACAATAAAAAAAATAGGATTAAATTATGATGTTTTACATGCAATATTCTTCCAGATTAGTTCAGAATAGAAGCGGCATGAATCCAAAGACTGTTGTAAATATAAGTAACCTCTAATAAAGGTCTCAAGCTTCACAGCATAAGTTATTTTAACAAGTTATTAATGTGGGGGATTTTACACTCTCTAAACACTTTCAAGTGCATGAATTCCCAAAGAGAGGAGCGTAAAGCAAAAACAAAAAAGTTGCTGCACTCAGGTAAAGACTATCTACCAAAATATGTCTACACTGTTTATGTGTTCCTATGCAAAATGAAAAGTCCCTACTAGATCCCAGAGGAGCTTTCACATACTTGACCGTGACCTCTGACCCCTCTGTGAGTTCTGTTGCAAAAACCAATCCCCTTTCCAAATACTCTGAATCAGCCTCTCTCACTTCGTCCTCACACATAATAAAGTTTTCTCTGACGGATGTCGTATAATATACTCTGCATCTTGGTCAACACACAAACGGTGCCCCTGTCCTCTGTCACATGATCTCTTACCTTGTTCGCTGCTGTTGTCACCACTGTGCGATGTGTGTCCCCCGCTGGATGGTCCCGGCGTGCCTCCAGAGCGCGTGGACGCCGTGTCATCGTGATCTCTGTTCCAGGACGTCTGAGAAAAGGAGAGACAAAATCGAAAGGTTAATCAGCTAATCGAATACTCAACTTTCACTGATTTAAAATTTCATTATCATCTTTTGAAAGCTCTGGTCTAGATGTAATGTCCATTACATTCAAGAGAGCCAGTCAAACTCAAATGAAATCAATCTCTGCCAACTCTCAGCCCAGTCATCCAGTGTGTGTGAGGCCCTGCAACAGTCTTATGGAATAAGAATTATTGGGGCTTGATAAAGAGAAAAGCTCAGACAAATAGAAAGTGAACATGTTGTATTAGTTCCCAGCTTTCTGAGGCATGCAATCTGCGGCTGCCTCCATTTGGCTCAAACCACTAGCAGATGAAAATACAAAACAGCTACAACTTAAGATAGGCTTCAGCAAGCGCCAGGGAGTGATGTCATCCGAGCAGAGTGGAGAAAGAGGGAGAGAGAGAGCGCGAGGTAAATAACTCAAAGTATTGCTACATAAGTATAATTCCTCCCTTTTGTCCAAAAGGGAAAGGGGGGAAAAATGGATGACCAGTCCCACTAATGTTGAATTAAACTTCATCTGAGGCAGCAGAGCCAAGACTGGGACATAATCAAATAAGCTAAAGTTTCCCACAGTTGAGCAAAAAAAAAAAAATAGAAACAAAAGTATTGCATGACAAACCAAACTAAGGCTGATTTTAAAGAAATGAAAAAGTCTAAGCAACGCAAAAGTATAAAAACGCATTCCTTTTTCTATAAGTTTTTTTTTTTAAATAGATAAACTTGACTGACAGCAGACTAAGATTCCTTTTACTCTTACTAGTTTGTGTCATCAAAACACAAGCAGCTGACTAGACAGAGAGACTCAGGAGACAGGGTTTTATTTATATATAGTTATTTGTGCGTGTGTCTTAGGCCAGATGAGTGTCAGCTGCACACTGGATGGTAGAGAGCTAATGGCCCAGAAAGAAGTAAAAACCGAAGTGTCACACACACACACACACACACACACACACACACACACACACACACACACACACACACACACACACACACACACACACACACACACACACACACACACAATATTGTCCACAGATGCAGGCAGACAAAAAATAGAGGAGTCAAGTTTTCTCCCATATATACAGGTCCGATGCTTACAAACAGACATATACTCTGCATACAGCCTGCAAAGAAAACACAGAAATCTCACCCTGCCCCATACAAAGCTGCTGCATACTATTGAAACTAAACCAGATGTTACTTCTTATCTCTGAGTGCCTCTGAAAAGCAACATTAGCGCTGAGGACAGGAGAGAAAGAGACTTCAGAATAGAAGGAAATGGAATCTAATGTGTTATCACACACAGTTTGCTATCACAAAAAACAACGCAACAAACAAAACACACGCAGACAAACACTTATCGAGCCTCCTCTACCGCCTGCATGAGCCTATCTTTGCTCGGTGAAATCAAATGAAGGAGATATCAAGGGGCAATGTGGTGTTTGCATCACGCTTTTAGGGCTTTGCGACGAAATGACTGATAGAAACCCACACGGAGGAAGCAAGGAAGGAGACGAGAGGAGCACACTGGGGAACAACTGGTTTCAATTGGGACACTACAATTGGCTCTGCCGCAGCAAGAGGGTTTCAAGTTGAGTTTAGCATTATAAAAAGGCAGACACTAATTCATGACTCAGGTTTGTTTTAAACAAAATATAGAAGGAATAGAATAACAGAAAAGAAAAGAAAAGTCAGCAAATTCAACACATTTGGGGTCTGTTAGAGCTCTTTTGATGTTCCTGGGCTATGAAATTATATTCCAGTGCTTACATGGACAATATAATTGTTGTTTTCCAAATTAGGCTTTGAGGCTTTGCAATAAAGAGGGGAGTCACTGCACAAAGGCATGACTAGGATGGCGACTGGTTAGATAAACGCTGATTTTAACAGGGATAAGATACCAAAAAGATCCCTTCTCCACCTCTTACAAATTCTTTTTTGCCGACCGTAGAACATTGAAAAATGAAACACCCGTGCATGACCAAGTTAACTCCAGAGAACATCAGAAGTGAGGTAATCCAGACCACATGCTCAGCGAGAAAAAACTTAACTCCGGCTTTTGCCATTTTTTTTCAAAAGTGAAGCATTTAAAATATGAGCAGAACTTGTTTATTCAGAGCGCAATGAAAAAGAATAGTACAGTACCCCAGGGATGTCGAACAGCAAGTATTAAAAACCCAAGAGCCTCAGCTTGCAAAAAGGATATTCCCCCCCCCCCCCCCCCCCCCATGTTCTTTTTTTGTTAATTCTATAACAAATTCCATTTGAAAATATAATTAGAAAGTGGAGGCGGAAATGGCAAACTACTGCATTAGCTGTAATTGAACAAAAGAGCGCTTTGCCTGCTGGGAGGTGGCCACTGAGGCCCCACGGGAAACGGGGCGGGGCTGAGACAGGACCTGGTGGCATCTCCGCGGGGATGAGGAGTTTATTTATAATCGCAGGCCGCGCTTGGATGGAAAGGGCTTAGCACTGATCTAACACACAATTATTGCACACACGGCTGAAAACACACAACCAACAAACACTCGTAGCAGTGCGCACAGGTCATGCAGTGCATTTGCACACACACCCAGTCACAAGTAAATTTTTTTTGATCACTTGGTTTGTGTGCACACACACACACACACACACACACACTCACAAACACGCTTTTCATTTACCTTATACAAACACATCACATCGCTGCCATACCCACAGCCTCTATTTAACAAAAGCACACACCTTGACCGCAAGACACAGGGAAACAAAACAATACACACCCTGTGCCAGCAAGACTACGGCACACAATAAAGATCTTCACCTTCAAAATATGGGGTATGTAAATTTTCAAGATGAATAGATGCATAAATAGAAAGCTTGAGGTAGTGGAAAGAAGGAGAAACTTGTCCTTCTGCACACATAGCAGCACGCTTGATTTATTCTGTCCCTTAATGAGCCGCCATAGTCTCTCACTACCTCTCCGTTCCCCTCTCTTTAACTCTTCCCTTTACCCACCGTCTCCTGTGCAGGATGCACATTAATTCAATGCTTAATTGTTTAGTAAATTCAATTTTCCACATTCTATTCTGCCTATCTTTAGGTAAAGTTCTTAAATCGGTGCCGCCAAGCTGTGGGAACCCTGTTTTTGAGCCATGCATACCTTTTTTTTTCATTACCATTTTTCTTCCCTACACCACCCTAATTCGCCATGAAAAGATTTTCCTTGCTGGAAATTCTGATTCCACTATGATCGGTGAGGCATTCCAATCCAATGCATTCTCATTGTGCCGTGTCTTAGATGCAAGAGGGGCTTCCCTTTCTGGCTGTGCCAGGCCCCATATCATACAAGCACTCATGCAAGAAATGTTGCCTTGCCAATTCATTTGCAATAATAAAGAAAACGGTTAAGGTTGTTGTGCTTTGCCCCCCCACCTACGCTTCTCCCTTTCTTCACTCTGAAATATCTTTTGTGATGATATGGATATTTACTTTTCACTCTGTGCCAGTGAGCGTGCGGAAATAATCATATGTGCATACTTACAGGCACAGACATAAATATCCAAGTAACCCCCCACACATACACTCTTCACTGGTGGTACATCTGAATCAAAGATGACAGTTGAGCTACTCCATCCCCCAGAATTCTTTGGTGCATCTACTCTCTGTGGTAGTTTTCTTTAACACCATTTTTGACCTTTGCAACAGCACTGCTTTCTCAAGTTGAAACCGGCGAGAATGCCATGTGTTGCAGCAGCAAGATGGCATGCAATAACTCCAGACACATTCTGCCACTCAGCTGAATGCTGGTGGGAAAGCTGTAAGTGAAAGGGGCTGAAAGGCCAGCTATTGTAAACTCTTGTTTACTTTGCTTTTCACTGTAACTAGATAAAGCAGGACCTGCCTCTCTGATAACCTGCCAGGCAAGTGCTTGCCCGACTACTTCGGTTTTCTGTGCTCTCTCCACCCCTCTCCTCCCCTTGTTGCAATATTACTGCTTCCAAAATGAAAAGAGGGGCTGATAATGGTATGCGTGTGGAAAAAAAAAAAAGGGGGGGTGTAGAGAGAAAAGACCCCTCACTCCCTCCCATTCTGTTCAACACTCCCCCTTCCTCCCTAACTCTTCACAATAGACAAAGAAAGAAGAAATAACCTTATAATTGCTAAAGGGGGTGAGGGAGAAAACTGGATTTGGTCTCTTGAGTAAGTAAAGTATGCTACACTCAATAGCCGTCAGGTACTCTTCAAACGGCTTTTTAAAACCGGTGGGTTAACCTCATAGAGACAACCAAAGATAATTACATGTTTAAGATAATTACCAGAGCTTTCAAAGTCCATTTAGATGACACTCGTGGAAACTGACAAACTGATTTCCCTTCCTCTGTGGCCTCTTCTACTGCAGCTCTTACTATAGACTCCTTGGTTACCCTCTATGAGCTGAAATCCAAACAAAAACATTAGCTCAAGTGCTTTCCCCTCTCCACGCCATCGAACCCCAAACAAAGCAATGGAAAGGTGGGCATTATTAGTTAACGACACGTTTTGCTGTGGTTTCTTCGTTAGCCTAGCCTGACTTGGAGCCACTGCGCTGGGATGTTCTCGGTGGATTCCTTGGAGACGGGTTGTTTGTGATGGTGGCCATTGTCAGAGGCTTGCAGGGGGTTAAGGGGGAGAGGAACTTTCCATTAGCTAAGTACACATGTGTTAAGCCAGGTTATTGTTTACTTAGCCAAAGAAACCACAGCAGGCCTCAGGGACAGACATGGCCGCCCATCATAAGTAACAGCAGACACAAACCAAAAACTTTATTTGTAACTGGGAAATTCTGACTATCATAGTGTGTCTGTGACACAGTGAGGCCGCACTAAGCACTAGTTTTAAAAACAACTCATAAATCAACTTTAACAAAAAAAGGCCATAACACCAAAAAAAAAAAACATATGCACTTTAGATGTGTGAAAAAAATTATGAAGGCATGAGAGAGGCTCCTGACATTCTAGTTCTTTGAAGTTACTTCAGTCTTGAGTTGCTCAATCATAATCACCCCTACTTGCTATTCCACCACAATTATAAAGAGGCTAAGAAACACACAAGTCACGTGGTCACCTCTTTGTATCACTTGTTGAATCCCCAACAGCCGCCCTGCATTCACTACCGAATGGAAGAAAAGGGGGAGTTTAGGCAAAGGGGGAGTAGAGGAGAGAAGGGGTGAGTGGGGGTCAAACCTCTCTTCTATTCAACTACAAAAGCTGCTATTACCAACAATCACTACAATGATTCAAAAGTTTGTATTAAGAACAGCAGTGTGCCACTGTAGGAGAGAGAGGGGGATGAAAAAAACAGAGCGAGTGTGTGCGCCTGTTAAGTCGGGTGAAACTCGATCCATACTTCAACGAGAAGCGGATAGATTAGCGATAGCGGTGTACTGATTAGGAAAATAGTGGCTGACCCTGGCAGTCATGGTTTCCATTGAGCTAGGAGTGGGGAGGGAGCAGGGGTCACTCTTTGACCGCCAGAGTTACCTAAACCAACACTGCTGGGTCTCACTGACCTGGAAACCCGTACTTGTATGGCATAACAGTGCCAATTGTTGGGAAAAAGATACCGCGATAGCGCTATCAGGAGCAAATTCTTACACAGTGACCACAACACAAAGCTCAAACAAGCCGGGTTTGTTTAGAAAAGATTGTGCAGGTTAGAAGCACAACAGCAACGGGTCCCTAATGTATACTGTAGATGTTATTTCAGATTGCAGCCAATTTCACCTTATTTTCACATTATTTCAACTTCTCAGGAAAAGACTCAGCATTCATAATCAAAGAAAAAGTCAGGCAGTAAATATTTTTAAAAGGAAATTTCAATTATTTCCAGTCCCACTTCAGCCTGCATAGCTCAATCAAGTAGAGGAGCTCTTGAGATTTGTAGTGAGTCCTCATCACTATTAGTACTGTTGTCCTCTACAGCAAAAAGCCTGGGCCCTCAGAGTTCATTAGCAAATTGCTACACCCCTCCCCATACGCTCTGTGCAATTAAAGGCAAATGTGTAAATGACGTACAGCAGCGCAGAAATACCTCCCCACTTCTTTAGACTGAGGTGAATGTGTGTGCCAGGCAAATAGGGACACAATCAGCAGAGTAACTCTTGCCATATTTTCACAGCAAGAAGAAGATTGAGACAGACGCGGCAATATTCGCGATCACATTAAAGGCCTGCACGAAATTAACTTCTTGTGTTTTTTATGTCTGCATACTGATTAGCTCAAAGTAGATCTAATGGGGCAAAAACATTCAGCTCAAAGGGAGGAAATCAACGTGAATGTGGTGGAAAGCTCTCCAGAGACCAGCAAGGAAAGAGTTAAGAAAGTCCAACTGGTGCTAACCAGTCACTCCACTCACATAGCACCTGAGGGGGGTGCTGCATTTATCAAGCCAGTCTGAACACACACACACGCGTGCGCACACAGCAGCACACGCACAAATACACACATATATATATACACGCACAGAGCGTGTGCCTGCGCACACACACCCACACCGAAAGACACACACAAACATAGGAGGGTATGCCCAAACTGGCTGGGCTGCATTCACAAGCCAGTGCAGAGCCTCTGACTTTTTCACCTCTCAGCTATGCTCTGCTTTCTTTTGAAAGAGGCGCTCGGTGTCCTTTCATATTTCCTCACATAGGCAGGAAAACAAAAAAAGGAAAAAAAAAATGTAAAGACATGTAAAGAATATTCAGAAAAATCACTGTTATGACGCAAGGGTACATAATGCAGCAAGATAGTCGGCGTTGTTGAATTGTTGAGTTTAATAAATTCAAAGTAGTTTTTTCCTCTGACATTTTTTTCCTCTGCTACAGTCGCCTCACTGGAATAAATTGGTTTATGAATAAATGAGCCTGCTTTCTCCATCTTGTTAACATTGTTCTTTTGTGCAAATTCTCAGCATTTTTTTCCAGTCCACTTCAACTTTATGCCCGAGGGCATATATTAAAAATACATATGGAAAGAGATAATGCACACACAATGCAAATCCGTTAAGGATGTCACCACCTAACAACTGCAGATAAGATGCCACACAAAAATAGCCCATAAAAATTTAAAAATATATATATTCTGCCACAAGTAAGTCATGAAGTGCAGTGCCATTGGATTGACAATGTAAGTATTCAGCGGTGAGAGGCATGCACCCTCTGCCTGTTTGGATATGCTCATTTACACACAGACTGCTCTTGTGGACAGTCTCCACATTAGGCCATCCTACCAGAACATCAGCCCATCCCTCAGTATTACAAATCTGTCAAAAAAGTTTGCTCTGTGTTTTAATACAAACTGTGCCTGTAGGTCATTTTTTACGATTCTTTCAGTGTAAACATAAGCTTGTATGGTTTTGGCCTGAATTGGCTATATGTAGGCAACCGTCATTATATTAAAATAGGCCACGTCTTCATCTTACAGTCAATTAAAGATCTGCATCAGTGCCGCAAGCACAACATCATTTTCTTCATATACCTAGAATCCCAAGGGTTTTAACACACTATTTCAATATCTATATACCATAAGGCTTCATTCCATGTTCTGACCTATCTATAAAAAATTTGACAACTGAATCCCTGAGAGAATACAACAGGCTGTTTAAAGAGACACTTAAAAGCACAAGTGGTGTCTGTGTTATTTAATTCTGTTCCTGGATTAAATGAAGTATTATCTTCTGGGTGATCTTTCTCATTTCCATAATCAGACATAAGGGCCAGGGATGGAGTAGTGCATGCGCAGCAGAGTGAGGCTCTTCCCAGTTGGGCCCCAATCGGCTCCCAGTCCTCCCATTCAGCACAGAACATAAAAGCCGCTGGCTGTCTCTCTCTTCTGAGACCAGCCACTCAACCATATGGAAGTCCGCGGATTTAAATTATTTAGCCTAATCGCTTCATTACTTTTTATGTCGGACTATCCAACTAATCCCTTTAATTTGGACACTTGATTCCCCCTCCCCCGCGCTGTCTATAGGTTATTGCCGCCACACTCCGAAGTAATTTCTTAAAACTCTGGTATAACTTAGCGAAACGTGCATGCAGCCCGCTTTCCTGCATACAGGGCGTGAGCTATTAATGGCCGCAAGTCCAGATTTGCATAGTTATAATGATCGGTTGCTGTTATCATTATTTAACGGCAGTGTAAGGACCATTAGGGTCATGCCTGTGCGCACACTACAATGTCCCCGGAGTGCAAACAGTCAGTGAAGCACATAATGAAGGCTGTGGTTATCTCTGATATCTGCACAAAAGGAAACACTTCTTAATCTACCTTTAATGCCCCCTGCTTCTATAGCTTTCGAAAATAAACCGTCTTATTGGCGCTGAATCTGTGCGCTCTGAGCGAAACAAAAGAGGGGGAGAGGAGGGGTCTCGATAAGCAGTGTGCACTCATGTCTAAGGAAAAATACTGACAAGACGCGAAATGAACCGTGAACTCTAGCTACAGTGGAGAAACCAAGGCATCTAAACCACAGTGTGCAGCCCATGCTGCTGCTGCTCTCTTCTGGGCTGCAAAACAGAGAGGAGCTGATAAGGCTTTAGGTTCAAAAAGAGAAAGAGAGAAGAGCGGGAGAAATGGAGAGAGGAACTAAATTAAAATCGACATGGAACAGGTCAAGTTTATGGCGATGCTTTTTCAAGCTAATCTTCCCAGGTCGGTTCCGGGTTCAAGTCTTAATGGGCCAATAATAGCAACATTATTCCGATTTTTCTTTTCTTTTTTCATTCCGAAGGATGGAATGGAAACCGTCTTTAATCATATGCAAATAGCAGCGCAGCACAGTAGTGACCCAGAATAGCTAAATGGCCAGCAGGGAGAACGCGCGCGTGCGCACACACACGCACACACACGCGCAGATGGAGAGATGTACCTGATCAAGGGCCACCGATCTCGTGATTTCCTCGCTGTCTGATTTGGAACCGCCCTCCCTGTCGTCTATGACCAAGTCGATGGGCATCTTGCCTTTCAAGCAGCTGATGTACCGGTGACAGAAATTATCACACAGCTCGTGCACCTAAAGGGAGAAAGAAGGCAGAGGTGTTACACACTCACCCAAACTACACGACAGTGCCATGCGCAACCACGACACCGATTCGAAGCGCAAAAGTGCCCCGAAGACTTTTTGTGCATTTTGACACAGCTAAAAATTACATTTGTGAATCTGTATTTAAACGTTATAGACGTATATATAAACTTTCTTTTAAACTTATGTTTACGGGTTTATATTAACTTATTGTTAATTTTCTTTCGTCTGTAAAAACTGAAAGATCACTTTGGATTCAGGGTAAGGTTCCCGCGCCTTTTGTGGCAGTGGACTGTCCTGCATGGAATAGTCAACTTCATTTTTTTTCTCCTCTCAAAATAGAGATATCGTCGAAAATTGACAGTGACAAGAGGGCTCTGAGGCTACAACGCACTCAACACCCGTGTTAAATTCATCATCAGTGCCCTGGGTTGTGGCCATTAGAGGAGGGTGACCCGCTTGACTGACATTTAAGGTAAACTGTTTAATTTCATCAACTTATTATATTATCACTGCCAATGTGACGCATCCGACTGCTTGAGAAACAAACAGAAAAAGGATAAACGCATGCGCAAAAAATGCTACTTCAAACTTTATTTAGGCTACTGAGTTTATATGTACAGAATATATAGCTTTCCGTAGAGAAGCAAGATCTGTAGGGAAAGAAGTGCATGCACGGAGATAAGTTTAAAAACGAAAACTTTTTAACAGTTTTGATTATGTTTGAGAATGTCAACGTTTAGGCTAAAGTTGGCTTTAGAGGCTATCGCAGTCCATCTGAAACGAAGACAAATCAGAGTTTTACACCCACTACTGCCTCTATCCACAGATGGTTGCCTGGGGCCTTTTGCCCTCCACAAAGAATCATTTTTTTTAAACCCGCAAAATTCGCCTATATGTTTCACCTTGCACGCAATTTCTGCCAGCATTAAACTTCATTAAAACATGGGAGAGACTGGGCACAGAGATATCTGTTCCAGTTGTAACAGCTTGCGTCGTGATTAAACGCGGAAGAGAAATGGCCCCATGATTGATTTTGACGCTAATTATAACCGACTAGCAAAAATACATTTATGCAAATACAGCCCATAGGTCTGAAGTGGCACAGTGGACAGAAATGGCGAGAGAATATTACCTTCTCCAGCTCCAGAAGATGAAATCGTAAAACTTGAATGGCTTGAATCATCTGAAAAATTAAAATAACAATAAAAAATGAGCTGTTCACATCTCTTGATATTAAACAGACGCGTTTTTCTCAATACAAGTAACTGTAGATGAGGAAAATATTCATGTGAATGGATTTTATGTGGAACTGATATTAAACTTGGATGTTATTGCAATATGGAGAGCAGGCGTACAGTACAGACTGAAGCTGCAATAAGCCTCAGAGTCAGAGATCTATTAGTCACCAACTAGTCGAGGGGAAGCGTTACTCTAACATTACATTTAAAGTATCAAACTGAACAAAGTGGAAAGACTGAATAGAATAAGTTTCCAGGCAGGGTTCAAAGGTGTGTGACAGCTGTCTGACAGCAGCCCTTCATCTGCAGATACAACCGGGGGCCATCATGATATCAAACAGCCCAAAAAAAAGGGATATCAGCTGCAATCCTGCTTTAACTTTTCAGCACCACGTGGCTGCCTGACACAGATGAAAAGCCCGCCACATCCAAACAACAGCTGACATATTCAAAAATGCAGTACGAAAATGCAGAAAATGTCATTTGTGCAATAATAAAATATAGAGCTTACCAGATTATCCAATTCTGGATTCGATGAAAATAAAGGTTTTTCTGCCCGAATCTAAAACCCAAAACATTTCTTTATAAAATATATGAATAGAAAACGTCACACTGATATTTTTAACATATAATGTAATATTAAATTCACATACACGCATTAAACGGAACACTAGTTACTTCTTCGCAAAGACAGTGCACAATATGAAATTAGAACATTGTAAAAATCGCGTTAATTTGAATGGTAGATGTCTCTTTAATTCATTTCAGTGCAGAATTAAGTGTAAGCACAAAAGCCAGAATTGCACATTTCGGACTGTCAGGTGAGAGCTCACGCTGCTCGAGCATGCAGATTAAGAAGAGTCAAAGTTTCCTGACCTGTTTTGCAAACACTGCTATGTCTTCATTGAAAGATTCCGATGAACAAACGTCTCCTCCCGCCACCCCGGGCTCTCTGGGGGTGCAAGTCGCTAATTCACATTTCTCAAAAATCAGTGCAAGCAAGGGGAACAGGGGGTGCCTGGGAACACACACAATAGCAAATGTCACCAGAGAGAACAGCGCCGGGGTCAAGACTACTCCAGGCTAGATTTAGCCAGCCATGGTACTCTTCAACAACTCACCCATGGGGACTGCTGCTGCAGCCCATGCTATTATATTATGCAGAGGCTCGGAGAAAGGCTTCAAACAGCGGACAGACTTTTGTGATTAAATCTAGGCGCGCCTAATAGCATAAAAGCTTTAGAGTCTGTCAAACAATTTCTTGCACAGGTCTCCGTTTGCATCACAGGCGTGTGTTTGTTTGGCAAAGAAAAAGAAAGAAAAAAAACTCGACGGTTAAATGTGCACACATTTATTATTTATTGCTCAAGTCCTTAGAATAAATATGTGCAGCCTGGTAATGCGGAGGTGAACGCGCTACCTGAAGTTGTGCCACTGTGGCAAAAGGTGGTAAAACTGCAACTGGCCTGAAAACGCTCTTCTTAGATTTTAATAAACTCACGTAAATTAATAAATGATTTTCTTTGAACAGTTTTTTTTAATTTGCTGAAGCTTTGCAAATTAATACAATTAATTCAAAATGTTAAAAAGCAGAATCTATTTTTATTTGCACTTTTTTTACTTATAATAAACGGCAGAGCTTTAAATGGAATATAAGCGGGAAAACTTGGGGGTGGAAAAGGCTCTGCGTATAGGTGAGCTTGTTTCAGAAATATTCAAGTCAAAAAATAATTGGAACAACGGGAGATTGGCGAGTCTTCCAAGTACAAAAGATATTGCTATATCTTTCACCCAATAGAAACACGCAACAGACATGACTGGACTGAAAAGTACAACACTCCAAATTATGCCAAAAAATAAAAGAGCAGGAGAAGCCCGCTTAGCCTCTCTCCTCCCCAGCGCCTCTGCATCAGTTTGGGTTCCAGTGTGTCTTAAACTCTTCACCGGGACAGATTGCTGTCCCTGGCATCGAGCCTGTGTTTTCTTTTGTACGAGGCTGATTTTGCATCCACTTGCCCACCCCAGCTGGCCCCTCCAGGCCTGGATACACGCCTGCCCGACAGAGTGAGTTTCCCCACGGAACGAAGGCGTGCACCTACCCGTATATAGCGTCTTTATCTCTCTTGAGAGCGTCGTTAACGGAGGAGCCCATACTAGGAGGCATGGTGTTGGTGTGGGCGGTGTGCGGGTACTGGTGAGTGTGCATCTGGGGACCGTGGTTGAGGTGAACCGCCTGCATGGACCGGGCGCCGTGCGGGTCTCCGTACATGGTGGTCGGGATGCCCACACCGTCCATCCCGTAGTGGGGCAAGTCTTCGTACTGCACACAACAAACACCCGGGTCAACAGTGAATATAGACGTACAAGACTATATTAGACTGATTAAAACTTTAGTGTAAAAACAGCGAAGTGTAAAAGTGAGTAGCAGGCGAAGTAACACTTGTAGTGTTGTTGTTTTTTCTTCTAAGAAAAAGTTCGGTCAAACTGAAGAAATAATTTAATTAATTTTACAAAATTAAGAACGTGTTTTTAAAAAAAATCCAAAATTTTCAGGTACACATACGCTTAGCTGCCCTTTTAAAAATAAATGTTCTTAAAAATTGAGGAGGGGAGAAAAACAAACAAATGTAAAGCAAAAGAGAGACAAATTCACGTCTGTGTTTTTGATTTTATAATCAGAGAAAGTTTTAAAGACTTGAGTCTAAAACTGAGTTGTCTCCAGTAAGAAAACTGCACTGATAATTCTGAAGTGCAAGCTAGTTTTTGTTCTCGTCTCATTCCCAGTGACCCTTGAAGCCCGGAGGAAAAACACATATGAATTATTCAATATGTTCGAAATTACTGGGAGTACAAAAACTGTAGCAACACGGCTCGGTTATTATTATCGCCATTAACCAGGCGGTTGTTGGGCTTTAACACCATAAACCCGGAGTCCTGTGTTGTCACAGTGTACAACAACAAAAGTCTTAAAGTTGTTAATTGCGGCGTTTCTCATTTTAAAGGCTCGTAACTGTGCAGCATGTTCTTACTTATCAAGCACGCTATGATTAGTGCAAACAAAACTAAACAACACAAGTCGCGTGCTGTTTTTCATGTTGTTAACCGAAGGTGAATATTCAAACTTTTTTCATGCGTCGCTTTTGAGTGAATTTACCACCCAGCCTTTACGTTTTGGTTTGTAACTACTCAGAAATGTTGCTTCTGGTCTGAGAAAGGTCAAATTAAGCAACTTATTTGAGGTTTGCTTTTTCATATACAAGAAAATATGCTTGAAATATTAATGACGTTCTTTTAGACGTGACAAACAAGTGCCGGTGGAAGAGTAAAATGCATTATCACTTAAGGCTGAGCATGTCGAGCCTAAAGGCAAAGAGGTGCAAACCCCAGCGTGGTGTAGCCCCAGTGCCAAATTCTGCAGCTAAATGTGTCCAGTGTCCCTAACATCCCCGCTTTTACGCTGTTTATTATCCGTGTGAAGATTCAGCTGCTGCTCTAAAGAAAAGAAGTCCCTGGATTGTGCGAATCAGAGCGTTTGTCATCACCTCGTTATTAGGGAAAAAGTGCCTTACTTGCTCGAGGCTTATTTTTTGCATATTTAAACACATTCTACGACGTGCCGTCGATTGACGAACAACCGACGGAATTTTTATTTTGATCGTAAATACTCGATAAGTAAGCTTGATGGAGCAGTCAACAGAGAAAAGTAGAGATTTGTTTTGCCTCCATGCCCTCCCCCATTTTGCTTCCAGTAACTGGCCTGTCATAACTAATCTAAAAAACACAGCCAATGTGAGATATGATCACGCTCCCAGTGTCTCTCACTGGGCCGGTTTGTGGGACAAACGAGAGCGACCGTGCGTAATACCGGGCCAAAAACACGCCAAACATGAAACCGTCCCTCCGTGTGTCAGAAAGACGACAGAAACTTTCGCCGCGAATGTGTGTCCGTGTGTCATTAAGCCACGTTACAGCGCAGCATAGCATTCAAGCGCAGCAGACTTGGAGAAACTTTTTAGGGGGGATTGCCCTACGTACCCGTTGCGCCATAACCCTCCTCACTCCCTGATCGTCCTTTCACTTTAGGTAAATCCCCTCTGCGGCCAGGGTGGAGACGAAATAAAGAAAGAAAATCCAAATAAATGAGAAGATGTTTCAGCCAAAATCCCGTTTGCCTTTTCTTTTTTTCCACGGAACGATGAAGCCAGCTCCCGCTTTCTGTGCAAGTTTAGCCCAGGCGCGGCAAATAGGTCCTCGGCTATCCTCGGGGCAGCAGCACCGGGCTCCTTTTCCAAAACCAGGATGAAAATAAAAAAGCCCCTCAAACAAAACTGGCGACTCTCATGGCTTTTTGCCACTCCGCCTGTCAGTCAAAACGCGAGGGCTTGTCAAAAGTACCGGATGAATGATGGTCCGACGTGCGTCTCCACGGGATCGGCACCACCTAAATGTTAATGGTCACAATCACAGTTAAAAAATGAAGCAGCTCTCCCCTCGTTTTCTTTGATCACTCTCGGCTCCCGGCTTGATTTTCTTATGCAAAAGCGTCTAGAGGAGATCAAGAGGAGGTGGGGTGATAATTCTGGCTTAGGCTTTCTTAAAGGAGCCACGATCGATGCTGTGCGCGTGTATGCGTCTGCATGTGTGTGAGTGCGTGTGTATGCGTGAGCCGCCTGCCCGTTTGTGTACAATGGATGTGTGTGTTGAGCTGAGGAGGAGCGGAGGATCTGGACCAGACTGCCGAAACCCGGAAGTAGTGGTGGCCATAACAGGTCGCGTCTCTTACACAACGCACCGGGCTGCAGCAAGTCGTGCGGAGAGGAGGGGGGGTGGGAGGACCCTGTGAGCCCAGCCAGCCAGCCGCACTGCGAGCTGGAACAACACTAAACACAGAATATTCATCTATGACTTCGACTTCATGTCTCATCCTCACAAACTGACTTTATTCTGCAGTCTGGAAAACACGTGAATTCGGGACTGACACGTCCACTTCTCTTCTTATAGTTTGTAAACGAGTTACTGAACCAACTTTCTACTCTGAAGTGAGCTGTTCTCAGGTACGTTATTAAGAGCCTGTAAGTTAATAATATTTTTATAATGAAAGAAAATGAGCTGTAGAATAAAATAAGTCGAGCTCATCCCAGTAATGTTGCAGTCAACCGAAGCCTCTGAGAGGCTGTCATCATTCTTTATGCATGAAATCCACTGCAGCCAAACATCCAGTTTTGCAGGTTTTCGGCCTTGCAGCTCGACTTCTGTGCAGTCGATTTGCTTCCCGTGTTTGATTTTATAACTGAAAGACTAGAAGCAAACAACATATAAAAACCTTGGAGAAATTGTCCAGTCTAAATAGAAAGAACAACAAAGCAACTTTAAACACGTCATTTGGAACATTTATACTTATTTTAAAAGTTGGTTGCTTTTCAAACGAAAGCAGCTTAATTACTCCGGATGTTGATGAGAGTCGTCATGAGAAAAGGGGATACTGAAATAAGTATATAAAACATTAAAGTCGTCGTCAAAGCATCTTTTATGTCTAAATAACAGTAAACGTTATCCACTTTTCTCCCCCACAGTAGTGCCGAATGGGTCGCTCCAGTCAGCCCGGGCTGTCCAATGGCAGGGAGGCAAAGAGATGGGAGCCCCCTATTGGCTCCCCACATGATCGATCCCGAGCTGATTGATCGGTTTTAGGCCACATTGGCGAGGAGGTGCAAAACAAAACGTCGGCCGCGGATACATAACACACACTTTACGCTTCTGTCAGCTTATACAGTGCGCAATTTAGCCAAAACTCAAAATATCTGACCAAGACACCCCCTTTCCTCTCTACCTTTCCATTTACCCCCCTACCAAACACACACAAATTTTCACATCTCCAACTTAATTACGTCCCTCTAAACGCACTTACACTTTCACTTAACTTTCCCTAACCAAACAGAACTACTCCTAAGATATGATAATGTCTCTCCTCTCGGAATCCTTATTAATTTAACTTTTGTCTTTTTTTATAATGAAGCGTTCACTTGAGTTTCACGATTTGCCGTACAGAGATTATAAAAGTTTGGTCAAATATTTATGAGCTTTAATATATGAAAGGGAACTTGGATTCTTGAGGAATTTCAGAAAAGTAATGATACCACTGAATAATGTCTGGGTATAAATTAACCAAATTGTTTGAATTTTCTATTTTATCTTATTATATATGATTCCTCACCGGGAGGAGAAGAACTACAAATCTTATTTAATTTAGCTGATATTTTTTAATTAAAAATGAACTTTGATTACCTATTTCTACATAAATATTAATGAGATATTCCGTGGCATATGAAGAAATATAATAAAAACGGATTAAGGTGGACATGATTAGTTTTAAGAGATAAGCTATTAGTTTTTTCCCCCTGAAGTTACAAAAGGATATTTGCAGATTTTGTCACTCTTTGTCACATGACGATGACCGACACAACTTTTTCATTTATTTTTCAGCCCATCACACGTGAATGGAGAGTGTCTAAAAGATCCATTTTATCTCCTGATTATGCTCATGAGGCGTTAAGGTGTTGCTGGTCTGTGACAGCCTGCTTTAAGTTTTTTCACCCCTCTTCTTTTTTCCCCGTGCAGTGCGTCCAGTCATCGATCATCTGCCCCGATGCCAGAAACGGTGTCATAATACGATAATGCGGCTTCACACATTCAGCGGTGATTCCTGTGGTAAAACCCGAGCGTTAGGATCCGATGGGACAGTTTTACAGGCATGAAATGACTATCAAAGGCTCCCGCAGTCTGGCCGCTGAGGCTTCGAGGCACGGACACAGGGAAGCCAGAAGGAACGGACCTTTACGCACAGAACACGGGATCAAATAATAAACTGTGCTGACTTGTTTTCGTCCACTTTGCTGATTTATTTATTTAATGGTGAGTAGAAGTTCTCATTTTCGCATTTTCTTCTTCATTTTACGGCAAAGCAAATAATTAGTTGTAAGAATGCCACATGAATATTCACGTTCAGTTATTACTAATTAAAGAGGATGTTGCGGTTAAAATCAGCTTTCAGCTAAATTTATATTTATTGGAATACAAAAGATTATAATGCAGCTCACCTACACTGAATTTTCGCGAGTCATTGGGAAGAAGTAAGGTTAAATCAACATGAAAGGGGGGGTCACATTAGCACTTGTTCACTTAAAAAAAAACTATAGCATTATAAAGCAATTAAGCTACGACAATTAGCATCCATAAAAGCAAACTGGAGCTCCACTTTCTCTCTCGGAGCTGTTCCTTCGTTAGGGTCAGCGCATTTTGGTATCCTGAAAGAGAGCAGGGGGGCAAATACCGTCACTTCTGTTTAATCCGCTTTGCGATGACGATAATGCTTTGAGTCGTTTCAATAAAATCAGCAGGTATTACTTTCAAACCACTGAATGCAAATTGACAGCATGTTTGACTGCGGAAACAAATGAAAGCGTTGTTAGACGGCCTCTGCGTCTTGACTCGTGCAGAGTGAACACAAAGAGAAACTGCACACCTTATGCACTACAAACACACGCTATACTTAATTCGGTTAAAACTCAAAATGCAGAGAAGGAGTATCCAAAGTGTTTATTCCAAACTATGTCAAGTTAATCGCGATTATTTTTCGCTTTTTATGTAAATATGTAAAGAGAGAAAAATGACTAATTTGAATCTTAGCCTAATAAATAACAAACGAAACCCCTCCAGGTCAGAGATATGAATCATCGCTTGGCTCTTGGTGATCCCTTGTATCACTGCTTGTCTGTAGCTGTTTGAAAAAACAAGGAGCAACTGGCAGCCTGCGGAGTCAAACTGAGGTCAAACTTTTTGCAGCTCCGCAGCTTTGCGCCTAAACATGTTGGGATCTGCAAAAAGGCCATTGAGCCTCTCTGCTTTGTGTCACTGCTTCAGAACACAGACAGACCTGCTGCAAAGTTTTCACAGTTTATCTAATTTTATGCAACTACTAGTTTATTAACGCCTGTCAGAAAACCCAACAGGATACATTAGGGCGCAATTAGGTTCTGTGAGCTCCAGTTAGAAACTATTCAGTCAGAAAAGGGCACTCATTTTTTTATACAAGTAAATCATTTATTTTGCTTATATCTGATTAAAACGTTAGTGCAACAAGAAATAATATGATGTAACATGCAGGTATGACTCATTATAAAAAGGCTAATTTATTATACACACATTATCCAGCATCGTTTATAAAATACTGATCATATATGAAAGTGCAGCATTTGTTTTTATATGGTCTACAGTTCGTTTTAATCATTGTAAGCGTGTTTGGGCTGTGATTTATGTGAAAGCTTGGTGCTTTTCTTTCTAGAGTGACACTAATATGTTTGCAGTATAATTAAGGTGCCCAAACATCTTGGTAAATACTTTGGCTTAGGTAATGATATAAGCTTGACTTTGGTATGATCACAGTATTTAAACGATTCGCAATATTAATTTCATGAAATCAGCTCAGGGAGTATTCACTCCTGCTGGATCCTGCGCTTTGGCCCAAATGTTAATCTCAGCTGCTCTCGCCTCTCACACACATTAATGCTTAATCATTTGCGCCTTCTACCGGAGTTGTTGGAAATTACATGTGATGCAGAAGGACGGGAAGATTCCTGACCAGATCATTCAAATAACATACTAAAGTCGCGCAGCGTAAAGGCTCTATTAAATTTCACGCGTTCTTCTGTTGCACTGTGAGCATTTTATGGTCCAAACGTTGGACTAAAGGCAGAATAAAATTGTTTGACTCTATAAAGAAGTGACTTGTCATATTTCTTGTCATTATTTATGTGAATAACTTAATATGTTAATAAAATATATAACGGTGTGAGAAGGATTTTGGTGCGTTGTCACTGATTATAGAGTGGTTGTTTTATTTTAAGGTGGATTAGAAATGTTGATATTACATGAACCAGATCTGCTCATTTATTGTCAAAGTGTCACAGGTAACATTTTAAGAGAAACACTTTTCAAATAGTCTTAAACATAACAAATCAACACTTTCAGTATTCAAACCTTAGATAAAATGTTGTGCTGAAATCACTCAGCTGTGTTTTTTAATAAACCGTCTACATCAAGATGTTACTAGGTGTAAGATTCTAATTTTCAAAATGTAGAAAGATATTCAAAGCTTCATCAAATTTCAACACTAAGGGAACTGCTACTGCTTTCTCTATGAATTGCGTTGATGGCAATGCATAATTAATATTAGCATGTGGATTAATGATAAACAACTGCAAATGACTGATCAAGAACTGACACAACAGCACCTTGGATCTCACACTCAAACTGCATAACACTTATGGATACATAATGTGATAAACAGCTGTTTTCCTATACAGTGAGAAGTGTGTGAAAATAGATGCACTGTTACATATGGCATATAAACCTCTAAACATGTGCGTTCAAGTGCGCAAACACAGAGAGAACAGGTTCCTGTAATGCTGCCCGTCAATTTTCACATTGTGCCATTGGTCACCAGGTCAGCAGCTCCACTTTTACTCTGAAGGGCTGCGGAATCTGAATTAACACCACAGGCAGATAGAGAGCTCACCGCTCTATCACACACAGACACACCTCCTTAACTCTCTCCCTCTTTCTGTCTTTCCCTCTCAGCGTCTCTCTCAACCAGCCCTTCCAGCAGCATTTGTCACCGGCACTATTATTTCAGGTGTGCTAATGGTGTCGCAGACACTTTTGCAGAGAGAGGAAGAGACATGA